CGTTGCTTCTGAATGTTACGTTTTTCTTCTTCTGTTTTTCCAATTGTATATATTATGGGTGGTTTTTCATCATATGGATATTGAAACAAAAGCCTTTCTTTGGAAAACTTCTTAAACACTTCCATTTGAACTGTGTACTCTCCGTCACGTTTTGACACAACAAGCGTAGGTTTCATTTCAATTTTTTTCTTGCGCTGCATCAAAGCGCGTTTCTTCTTGTTCATACTATCCTGACCCTCTCTTTGCGCTCTGTACCTTCTCACTAAAATAGCATTTGCAGCTCCAGGTCGCCAATTAGGCCGAAACTATAAAAAAATACAAAAACATTTTGGTAAACAGACTAAAAAAAAAACAATTTATTTTAATTAAAAAACAAAATAAAAAGGAAACTGTTATTTCCCCTAAATTATTTTTTCATGGATTGTGTCGTTAAATACCATCCAAAGTTACGGGGTAAGTGCGTTATATGGGGTATTTTTTTAGTCAGTAAGAATCTTGATACAATATCAGTATCATAATACAAAAGTGAAGTGTGGGAGAGCCATGCTTCGGCACGAATAGGTCGGCTCGACCGGAGTGATACCACAGCCTCGCAGAAAACCGGTTTGAAACAACCACAGCGTTGTGTTTCGCCGTGTAAGTGAGGTTACCGAATGTCTTGTTATATGTCTGTTTTTTTATATGAATCGTAGGTCATTTCGTATCATAACATTACACATTTCCCGTACTTATTTTTACTGATTTTCTATTTGACCAAAAGTTTGACTGGTAGAGAATGTCATATGGCATAAATTCCGCCTAACTTCTTTTCATTGTGTACATTAAAGCATATAGATAAATTCCAACACACATTTGTCTTATTTACAATTATATTATTTTTGGAATAGGTCTGCTCGATCGGACTGATACCACGGCCTCGCAGAAAACCGGCATGACGCAATGCTTGCAATCGATAGCCAATTACCCCTTTCTTATCCAAAAAAAGCTGGCAACACACTTCTGTATTTAAGGTTTTCCATGGGCGGCACTGATTCCTTATCACTCGTGATCTGTGTCTGCTGCCTTATTCCATAAAATAACTTGATACTTATTTATGAAAAATTATATAAGTTGAGCTGGTAATAAACAGTATAATCATTATGTGCAAATTTTCAAGACCAAACCAGACCTCTTAATTTCTATTCGAGTTACTCACTTACCTAATTCTATTATTCAAAAGGCATAGGTATTTCATTTAAACAAAATATCTTACTTTCATTCCCGGCACGTCTTCGGCCACCCAATTCCAACCCATATTTCTTGGAACTGGAGGATAGTGATGAAAACGTTTTTCTTCTTTTTTGACAACCACTTGAACAGCTGAAAGATAACATTCATTATTACTTAGTAAACACAGAAACAAACATTAAAACAATTTTAACACTCACGCATCCCAGCCTCTGAACCTTTCTTTTTGTCAAACTTTTTTCGTAATTTATCTTTTGATGACTTTTTTCTTTTTTTATCTTCTTTTTTGGGACTGAGATCTTCCTCAGATTCTTTCGCTTTCTTAAGTTTGTTTTCTGGTACAGCCTTTTTATCAACGACCCCTTTTCCCGTTTTCTCCGCAGATCCTTTAATGCCAAGTTTTTCTCCCGACCTTGTACCACCCTTAGAACTCTTAGAACTCTGTGTTTCCTTCTTTTCATCTTCAGGCCATGGGTTCGGAACTTTTATATACTTTTTATTGTATAATTTGTGATACACTGGGCATGGGTGGGGCTTAATATAATCTGGTTGATCCCGCATGTCATTTCCTAGACACTCGTATCCTCCACAAACCGGACAATAAGTAGTTTTATCAGAAAATTTGAATGTGCAAACACAGTCACAATAGCAAAGATCTTGTCCTTCTAAATCTCCTACAGCGCATGGTTCACTAGTTTGCTTCTTTCTCACCCCATCGGCTATAAATTCCTTTATTCTATCAACTACATTGCAAGACTTTACACAACAAGGATTATGAATCTCTTTAAATTCCAATTCTATATTACTGTCTGCTGGGCTTGGGGGATATTCGATTTTAGGAGGACATACTGGTGCGGTGCATGGTGAAGTATCTATATCGTTACTTTGACCATAGTCGGTGGAGCACACGCTTTTAGAACAGGATGTTTTTGTGAGGGAAGCTTTGGCACTCGGACATTCAGGACCACAAAATTTGTACTTCGACTTAGATGATTTACCTTCGGAGTCACTACCATCAGTGCTTTTATTTTCAGGAGTTTTATCATTGGTATTTTGGAAATCATATTCAACAGTAAAATAATACACGTCATATACATTTTTTTCTGGTTTCGTGAAAGGGCATCCTTCTCCTTTACATGTAGTATCATCACTTGAATTTTGGCAATCGTTGCTACACATGGAATCACATGATGTTCTTCTAGTAAGTGATTGTCTCATTTTTTCTACACACGCACATTGTGTAGATGTTCCTTCGAGTGTCGCTCCGTGAGAAAAATCACCTTCATGCCGCAAAAAGTCTTGAATCTTTGAAACTAATGTACAGTCTTTACTGCCACACGGCCCTATAAGATCTTCAAGATTAAACTCTACGTTATCCTCCTCCACAAGGTTTTCAATGTAAGCTCTTAGCTCCCTCGCAATTTTACATTCTGGTGTGCCACATGGACCTCGAATGTTAGCAATATCGAACGTACCACCACGGACGTCCGTAGGCTTCTTACGTTTGTCGGTACAAATGGGGCACGGTGCTACTTGTGCCTCGTTTTTAAATCGTTCGGCTAACGCTCCCTCAGGCCACGTTGTTTCTCGGCAATAACAAAGTCTATCAATATCTGTCGCTTTCACCCTGGGACTTATTGTAGGGCGAGGTGTTAACATCCTCATATTGTCATTGCAAGATACAATGATCTTCCTCACATAGTCTATTATGAAATCAATGTCAGGACAGGTTTCAGGAGATTTATATTTGGATTCAGGCGGTTTGTCCGCATGACCAAGGCAACAATAGTCATTCTCGTCAAAGAAAGTAAGATTAGCTCCCGGGGCGTTTTTATAATCAGCAAATGCAATTTTCATAGGTTTCGGTTTGTCTACAACATACTGACTTTCTATTTTACCGCTATTTTGTACATAAAGCTCATCCGACGTTTTCAAGGTGCACATAAATGATGTTGTTTTGGAATTAATTCCAGTATACAGAAATTTTCTAACACTTGCGTCTTCAGACAATGTTCGGAATGCTGTTGTAACTTTTTCGTTTAAGTGTGACAGTTTCACTACAATAGTTATCTTCGCCATAAGTTTTGCTTGGCCTTCTTCAAATATATTATATTCTTCTTTCAGAGTAACAGGGGGAGGTTCTTGGCAATTCATGATCTGTTCCAAAAATTTTAGAAATATCGGATCCCAATGTATAGAAGTTGTACCGATAGCAGTTAAATTTTCATCCTTGCTCCACAAAGATAATTCCAAAGGGTATTTTTTCATATTTTGTATTAATATCTCTGGAGTGCTGGTAAATAATACCGACTGTCCTACGCATATGGACGGTTCTGGTGGTGGCAACACAATTACTTCCTTTTTACCTTTTTTACCCTTTTTAGGTTTTTTCGGTTTTGGTTTCTTTTTCTTGCCTTTTTTTCCAACTGGCTCTGGTGGTAAAGGAAGTGGTTCCGGCATTACTATATGCATTTGCTTCGGATCTTTTAGTTCCAGTGAAAATATATTTGCGAAATCACTTTTAATAACTAATACCCGACTTTCTACCATAGTTTTGGTGTTTTCCACCACTACTTCAAATAGAAACATTGCATTTTTTACGGCCATGCTTTTAATTTGTTTGCTCTTTTGTATTAGAATTTTAACATTACATAAATGACAAGTTTACATAGATTTAGGACGTAAAATTAATAACACAAAAATTTAATTTTTAGTAAAAATTTTGATCGTGTAGTTGTTTAATAAATACTAAACAATAATGTCAATGGTCGATAATTTTGACAGGTAGCATTTTTATTAGTCATCTTTTTCGGCCAGATGAATAAATCTATACCTACTAATGCTATAAAGAGGTAAAATTTGTAAGTTTGTATGTTTGTTTGTATGTAGGAGGTAAATCTTGGAACCGCTGGTCGGATTTTCTAAATTCTTTCACTGATAGATAGCTACAATATTCCTGAGTGCTATAGGCAATAAAACATCACGCTACGATTAAATGGAGCCGAGCATCGGATGAAACCGCGCGAGAGTAGCTAGTTTTAAATAAAATCAATCTTTCTGTATAGTCTATACTTAGTAGTAAAGTACAATCTTCTATATAGTAACTCAAATTCATCATAAATATTAATGATTATTATGCTAAAATAGTTATTTTTTAAATAAATAGACGGGGCGGTATAGAGCTGATGTTCAGGGGTTGCGGGGTATGCGCAGTCAGGCACCGCGGCCTCGGCCTAAAGCAGGAGAAGGAAAGGATGGTTTTTAGTCAATAATAGTCTGACACTCTATCCCTCTCCTCACCGTGGGTGGGGGAAATTGTTTGTTATTTTTTCGCCATCTCCTTCTATGTTCATACCTCAATGTATGTTGACGTGGAGAGGTACTACTCAGCAGATAGTGAGTTTTGCCCACCACACCTCTAGTTTGTAGCTTATCAAAACCCTTGACTTAGCAAAGCCCTTGTTAAGTCAAGGGTTTTGGTACCTACTGTATTTGTTACCAGGGTTCGATGATGGAACTGGAAGATGGATATAGGAACTCAATATTTTTTATGACATGGACTCATTGGTTGTAGGCTCGCATGATTTGTCTTAACGGATATTTTAGGGTTTCATCTGCAACGACTAGACGTGGATGATCCATATTAAAGTTGTTTGTGTGCAGTTGCATGCTAAAACGTAGGTTACGCCCAGATACGGGACAATTCTGAAAAATAATTGTTTACGAACGTATTTGCAATGCGTTCTATGTGTTAATTTATATTTCAATGAACGCAACTGTCTAGATCAGCTGATGTATTCTGTCAATTTCAAAATTTGACAATTTGATCATGATGGGGAAAATTTCAGTGTATTACGAAATCATAGAAAATTAGAAATAGAAGTTTTAAGTGTTACAAATAAGTTTACCGTCACGTAGTCTATTCCAACGCGGCCCATGATGTTGACCTATTTATTAATAGGAAACGTTAGATGACCAAATCAGATTCTAACCAACACCGCGTCTAGGTAAGTGTGCGCATTTATTTAAAATAAAATAATTATTTTATTGACTGTAGCACGTGTTTTAATAAACATTTAATAAGTCGTTACATAATATGTTTTGTTAAATAATACTAAATCTATCATATTGGTTGCACTCGCAAACTATCGGAATACTTAAATAAAATAATTATTATTTTTCTTTGTCTTAGAAATTCTCGACTTCTCTTCTTTGTTATTAAAAGAAAATGAGTCAAGAAAATTTCGAATTAACTTATTAGAACTTTATCTTTATTGTTTCCCGGGTACAGAACTTGATAAATAAATATGTGCCCCAGCGTTGCCCATATCTAGAGAAGAGACGACCTATTGACCGAAGTTGACCGAACTAAATGAGTGCCGAACGTTTAAATAATCAAGAATATGTGTATAATCATTACTACTAGATGTGGCGGGAAATAACACAAACTTTTTGCGGCAAACACAAAATTTTTATCATTTTAAATTATTAGTAATATAGCAAAATTAACATTTGTTACTTTTTCTACATAAAAATATTTTTTAATTATAAATAGCATTGTATTTTTATTTAATTAGTATAATTGTGTCTGTGTGTGTGTGTTTGTGCTGGTGTTTTAGTTTCATTAGAGTTACTAAGATTGCTGTGCAGTTTTTTAAAAATGATTCACTTAAGGTATGGTTTATTTTATTCGATTTTAATGTTTTATACAATCCAAACAATTAATTTTAACAATCATATGATTGGGTTTAGGTGCATTACATAAATAAATAACTCACATACAATGGTAGGCCACAACTTTTTTTTTAAACCAAAGCATCACATCACTCTTTGTTCTGAGTTTTTTCAAATTCAAACTCATTTATTGCAAAAGTGTGTAATGACAACATGGATACATTAAAAGGTTTGGTATCTCCATAATCAGCCTGAAGGCATGCAATTTAATTGATATTTATTTTACTGCTTTTGTAAATTCATTAACACAAAATTTGTAAAACATAAAAATAATACCTACCAGTTAAACTAGGTGATACCACCTGCCAAAAATATAATTAGATCCTTAAACCTTTACAATAATTCATCATCATTTGACAGTTACAACTTTTAAAGTTAGAAGTTTAGAACTTGGCCCATAGCATTTATTATATATTATATTCCAGCTTTTCATCAGAACAGCTAAGATTTGGGATAGTTTGTGTGAATAGATCAGACTGAATAGGTTATTTATTATTCATGGCCCACCATACCATCGCTTGCCACCTATCAAGATAGTAGCCAGAGCATTCCTATTATAATAAATCATTTGAATTGTTGATACAATAAACTTAAAATAAATTCATTTTCTTTTTGTGTTATATTACATTACATTTGTGACATGATTGTGTACAAAATTACGAAACCATAGAGTGGTGTGCAAAATTAACATAATAAATACTTCAACTCAATTTTATCAGATAAATGAAGACTAATCAACATGCTTTGTTTGATTTCCAGTTATTTATTTAACTACTAACTTTTAGTTATATAGAAGATTGCTTGTACTATTCATTCATAAAATAAAACATTCTATTACTAACAAAATTATTAGTAATTTAAAACTTGTGATATTGAATACTATTTATAATAGTTTGGCAAAAAGGCTTAAAAAATCATACTTTTCGTAGTACAATGGACTTCCTTGTGGGAGGTCTGGCTGGAGTTGGTGCGGGGTTTTTCAGTAACCCATTTGATGTTGTCAAGACTCGCATGCAGCTGCAAGGAGAGCTGAGGGCTCGGGGAAAGCATGCGGTCCACTATAAAAATGTGCCCCACGCCATGTTCAATATTGTGAAACATGACGGTGTTGCCGCTCTGCAAAAAGGATTGGTGCCAGCACTGTGGTTCCAACTTGTTGTGAATGGGGTAAGGTAAGCTGTTTTTTGGTTTTTGTCTGGAATTGTTTTCTTTTAATTTTTTTTGGTTTTGTTATTTAGGTTTCCGATTGCATGTTTGTTGGTTGGTTGTATTTTATGGTATCTTTTTCTTTGCATTGTTTTATTTTAATATAAACCATAGATAATTTAACAACGAATAATTTTAAAATTGGGCTTAATCAAATAATATTCTTAAGTAGTATTTATACATCTACATTTATATTGTGAATAAATTTGAAATTACTATTTTAGGTTGGGCATCTACCAGCAAGCAGACAACTATGGCCTCCTTAGAGATAAGGATAACAACACACAATTTGTGAACAGTCTGTTCTTTGGCTGTGTGTCAGGAATGTGTGGGGGGCTGTGTGGTAGTCCACTACAGCTGGTGAAGACTCAGCTGATGTCCTACTCCTCACAGAAGATAGCAGTAGGCACTCAGCATGCCCACCCAGGCATGATGTACGCTTTCCAGAAGATCTACAACAAGAATGGCTTATCAGGATTATGGAGAGGTGCCCATGGGATGATGATGAGGAATTCCATTGGATCTGCATCTCAAATTGCTTCTTTTGCTGTGTAAGTAATCCACTTGGTTAAATCTTGGTTTATTAATTTACTTTTAATTTTCTTCATTGCTATTGTTAGGAGGGCAGAGCGCTACCGTCATATAATCACACTTCTAAAAATACAATTGACCTCAGTTTTTTTTAGAGAAGATCAATAATACCACTGATAACAAATACGTCATAGTACACTATGTAGTAAGAAACAGCTGATGAAACTTTCTGGTTGACACGCCTTTTTTTATCTCGAATATGTCAGTGACATGTAGACAACGCCCTCTTGCGTCAATAATAGCCTTGGCTTATATGTATTTTTTTTATTCTTAATATGGAAAATAATATCTGATCCAAACAGTTTTTAATTGGGCGAATAACTCCTTTTGTACTTATGCATTAAAGACGTTTGCGATGGTGTATTTTTTTTCGACTATTAATTGAAAAGGAGAAGAATTGAGTACGGATTCGGAGTAGGGCAAAGTGTCATTGTGTTCTAAATATTCTTAACTATCAACCGCTACACTTAATCTTGTTTGCCCTCTTATAAAATCAGCGCTATACCTACATGAAGGTACATGAAATGGACGAAAATAACTTTTATTTAAGTACATTTCCATATACTCCTCTTTGTACTGTTAAGTTGGATATTACGTTTAAAAACTTGCAAAAGATAAGCTTGAGCGCAAAAAAAATAAACATACTAGTTTATTTAGTTATACACATGTCATGAAATTTTGCGCTCGTTCCAATTTTCACCCGGTTCTTAGCAGTTCAAATATATTTTGATGGCAGTTTACTGGTCCAATGTTATAAGGTCAATCTTATCAAAGAATAATTACTTACTATCATTCGTTTTTTCTGTCAACATAATTGTCAGGGTTGCTACTTTTTATATTCATGCATATGTTCAGAGTTAGATGCAATCTACTTACTGTAGGGTAGGGTGGTGATCCTAGTTTTGGATGACGTCATACTTAACTAATAATAAATGTAGTGTTATACTTACTATTCTTTAGTTTTCTCAGTCTCAATAAACAATGATACAACTGATACGATTGCAGTCACATTTTTTTTATGTAATCGGTCGGCAAACGAGCAGACGTATTACCTGATGGTAAGCAATCAGCGCCGCCCATGGACACCCGCAACGGAGAAGTTACGAGTGCGTAGCCGACCTTTTAGGGATTAGGGATTGAGGAGGAATTGGGGGAGGGGAAGGATTGGGCCTCCGGTAACCTCACTCACACGGCGAAACACAACGCTGTGGTTGTTTCACGCCGGTTTTCTATGAGGCCGTGGTATCATCACTCCGGTCGAGCCGACCCATTCGTGCCGAAGCATGGCTCTCCCACACTTGTGTCACATATTTTTTGAATCGTTTCCGAGTTCTAAATTGTGTCTCAATGGAACCTTAAATTGTTAAGTAGGATATATTTTCCAAATAGGTACTTACTTCTATAGTTCTATGGCCAGGTTTTATAGAAAAATATATTTAATCAAAGTCATATTTCTTTTACAGATGTAAAGAATGGATGGACAATAACAACATGTTCCAACAATCGAAGTATTTGTCAGCTTTCGTAGCGAGCAACATAGGGGCGTTAGTGAAGACTGTGTTCCTGAATCCGATGGATGTCATCATGACTCGGCTTTATAACCAAGGTAAGCCATACTTTATTACCTATATTTGTCCAATAGCAATGTTTTCTTATGACATAGGGCGGATTACCTGATGGCAAGCAATCAGCGCCGTCCATGGACACTCGTGGTACCAAAGGAGTTACTACATGTGCGCTGGCGGCCACTTGTGGGTTATTAGGAATTTAAGAATAGGGGATTTACGTTGAGGACTGAGAATGGGGTAGGGGGAAGGAATTGGTCCTCCGGCAACCTTACTAGCACAACGAAATAAAACTTACTTTGTTTCTTCACGCCGGTTTTTCTGTGACTTTACTTTGACATAACTATAATATCTTAATAAAATTTATGTATGTGACACACATTCATGAATAATTATTGACCTTATTTGAAATTACTATAATATCTTAATTTGCAATAATAATAGCAATCTGTAAAAGGTGTGTTGCTCTCCGACTTTCAGTCCACTCATGTGTACTGTTTCTGCGCTAAATCCACATTTTGATAGCTTTATTCTTTTTCCTATTGACAGAGTAAATAAAGTCATGTTCATTTTATTCCGAAATGAAGGTTTGTTGTGTTAAAAAGACATGCCTCATTTTTCTTCAGATGATCCTGTAAACTCCATCTGATGACGTTCTCGTTATTGAACATTATACTTATCTCAAAGAAAAAAACAAATACATATAAAAAAATAATCTACTAGTTACTTTCGCGCGGTTTCACCCGCTGCTCGGCTCCATTTAATCGTAGCGTAATGTTTTATAGCCTATAGCACTCAGGAACAGTGAAATAATTTTCGGCAATCCGACCAGCGGTTCAAAAGCTTATCCCCTACATACAAACTTACAAACTTTACCTCCTTATAATATTAAGTATACATATAGATATAAAATAGGTTATCAAAAACATACTTATTTAAAAAATATTTGTTTCAGCTGTTGACGCAAACGGCCGAGGGGTTATGTATGCGGGTATAGCCGATTGCGCGCGAAAGATCGTCAAGGCAGAAGGCCTAATAGCCTTTTGTAAGGGCATGGGCCCATCTTACCTTCGCCAAGCACCCCACACAGTGCTTTTATTAGTATTCTGGGATATGCTAAAAGATCTGCAAAAAAGTATTAAACTACATGCATAGCGTTTGATTTTATAGTAGTTGCAATTCTTCGCCTTGGCTAAAGTCTTTGCCCCGGCTAAAGTCTTTTTCCTCCGCGAAAGCCTTGGCTTTGGCTAAAGTCTGCTTGGTATAAAGTAGGCTTTGACTAAAGTCTTTGCCTCAACTAAAGTTGGCTTTAGCTAAAGTCTTTGCCTCGCCTAAAGTTGTCTTTGGCTAAAGTCTTTGCCTCGCCTAAAGTTGGCTTTGGCTAAAGTGTTTGGCTCAGTGAAAGTCTGCCTCACCTCGAGGCATTAGAAAAGTGAGATTTAATATTATTATATTTTAAATAGTCCTTACAATGTTGTATTGGCTTTGTATTTTTATTTTTAAGTTATTAATTTATTTTGTATTAACGTTGTAGAATGGTTTCGGCTTGTGTCTTAACGTATTATTTGTGAATTTGCATTCAGAAAACAATACTTTATTTCAGCTAGTTTACCAGATTTTTTCTTGTTTTTATACTGGAGTATGATTCACATATTCAATATATTATTCCTTGCACCTATTTGGTGGCGAGTGGACCCACAGGTTCAGTATTTAAGTAATATTTTTCATATAACTTTTTGGCTAGATAACTCGAGTTTCAAGTCACATGAGTAAGCGTGTGTATAGGTACACATTTTTATTCACGTAATATTGCTCAAAAAAGTAGTATATCTAAATTAAGAAAAAGCGTTTTGTAGAACGATTTTTAATTTTGGTACTTAAATATACCAATGGAAATAATACTTCTGAAATAAAATATTTATATCAAGTCTCCATCAACCACATGTCATACATACGTCTTCCGCAGTCAACTAGCCAGATTAGCCATTTAATTAACTGCCTAGCATGTTTAATATTTTATTTGCTGTTTTATGGGTAAAAGTTCTAGCCTTAGCTATCCTACCATTCTGGTAGCTTCCAACTAAACTGCCTGACTGAAATTTTTAGCCATTCAATCAAACGGCTAGTCAATCAGGCCGTACGTTAAATGGAGTATTTAGCCAGTTGACTGCGTCATATCTGTAGCCAGGCGCTAACTAAAGACGTGAGTAAGTCATTTGTGCCGAAGTTTTTATTATCAGTGTGGTTTATATTATCGTTTGTCATTTGTATATACGTGATAAGAACGATTGATATAATATACGTATTGTATTCAACTGTCTTCCGTGCGCTACTGACGTGTGACGTCACAACCTTATGTCCAAACAGTGATCATAGTGCAATAAGCGACATAAAATTGGTATGTAGATAATTTTAATTTAGACTTTATACCTCATGGTATTACTGCTCATTTTTGTATATCATTATATTGGTTTACAGTATTTGTAAAATGTTTTTCGACTGGTATTCAGTTGAACATTTTTTGTTTTTGACTTTATGGTTGGTGGAAATAGGACTTAATTTTGTGTGTCTTATATTTGGTGCCTGGTTTTTAATGGTGTTGAATCTCATTGAGTGCAATAAAGTAATAAACGTAATTGATGATATTAATATAACAGCAGAATGCCAAAGGAGTGCCAAATGACCTTGGATTTTTGTTAAGTTTAATTATTTTATAACGATATTGTTTGTATATTTCATGTTATCTGCGAAGTGTTCAAATTAATGATAAATAGTTGTTACAATTTGTATACGTCTGGCCTGACCCAATTATCATCATCATCATTAGCCTATACGTGCTGAGCGTAGGTTTGGTGATTTCAAACTTATAAGTCCAGGTTTCTTCACGATATTTTCCTTCCCCGGTTGTCAGTGATGTCTAAATACTTATTTGTCTAAGTACATACAAAAACTTTCGAATCCGCCCCTTGCATGAGAGACGGGAGTTGTAACCTCCATGACCTCCACCTCAATACAGTATGTTAGTTTAAAAGAGGGACATATTCTGGTGCTTAAATAAAACAACGATTTTTCAGATTTCCATATTGGTATTTTCCCTTAAGAGCGATATTGGACTTAAAAAAAAAAATAATTCAATCAATCAAATCAGCTGTTGCGATTTGTATGGATAAATAAATTTATTTTTTGGTCTTGGCTATTGGTCCCATTTAAATAGTTATTGTAATTGAGCACCAAAATCGGCTCCTTCAATTTGCCCCTTTTGAACTTAACACTGTAGGCATATACATACATAATATTACCCACTTCCCCAATCCTTAATTGCCTAAAAGTTTGGTAACTTACCCATGGGCAGTGCCGATTGTTTACCAGGCATAAGCCTTTAGGAACAGGAAATTAAAGAATATATTATTATTGTTTTTGTTTATTAGCATATAACATTAATATGACTTATTTTTTATTTCATTTACTGACCCAAAAAAATCCAAGTGTCACTCATTATTCATATGAAATACTCTGCTTATCCTAAACTGAATAAGTTTTCCATTTAAATAACAGTACCTTTCATCTATGTATCATATCATCCTCATGAAATAATCTGTTATCATTCTCACTCTTTCATGTTTTATCTTTATCAAATGATTATATTTCTATTTTGTAGAAATATGAAATACATTTGAATATTACGTCATTTTAGTACCTGAGCAAAAATATAACCTCCCTTAACATTGCAACTCAGTATTATTGCAAATAAATACCTTATTACAAGCATTTTAAGTTAATTTCATAGTATTTATTATTCATAGCATTTAATTGTGTAGTGCAATTTATTATGTATTATTTTTAATTAAATCTGACATTTTTATGTGTTGCCACATGATAAATTTGGTTTTGATTTTTTTATGTGGCAACTCAGTTTTTGGTAAATTTTTTCAATTAACGCAAGATATTTATACAGCCTAAGCTATAAATCTCAGTGCTTATAACGTTTTGTATTTTTAGCAATAAGTTAGTATAGTAGAAAAATGTGTAATACTAATTAATATTTTTAGTATAATAGTGATATTTGGTGCAATTAGAGAATTTAATGTTTATGTTAATAGGAATAAAGTTTTAAATAGTTATTCTTGGTTTTTATTTACGCCAAAATTATGTTATTACCTTAAAATATATTCCAATTTATAAACAAATTCTCTGTCAGAGTAAGCGCTATCAGATACCACAACCTGTGCCTGGAAAACAAGAAGGAAGGGGAGTTTTTAGTCAGCGCCTGACACTCGCTTTCGCCCAGCCCAGGTCGAGCAAAGTAATTTGATAATTCTCCCTCCGCACCACACAAAAAATGAAGTGAAGAAAATTACATTTTTGTCAACCAACAACAACATGAAAGACTAGTTACTTGGGTGTCAAATTCAGAGGAGGGATGTCATCATAATGACTTCAAGCATTGGGTGGGGCATTAGGGAGTGTCAGACTATTACTTAATAAAAATCACCAAGTTCCTTCTCTTGCAGCGGCCGAGGCACGGTACGCGCTTGAATCCGCAAACTCGGATGAAATTTTTTAAACCCATTTTAAAGTTTCATTGTCAGGGTAGCCAGAAGCCCAAATGTAAATGAGTGTCTCCGGCGCAATAACTTTTTTATGATTGTTTGATTTGTACGGACAAAATTTCATAATTATAAAGTGGAGTTCACTTAGATGTGGAGGGGTAAATATATAAGGACTAAAATAACCAATAACACTTCTTCCACAGACGAACAAAATGTCGAAGGTAAAAGATGCACAGATAAGTAAAACCCACAGTTTGAACCGTGACATCACGGACTTGCTGATGGGAGGGACGTCAGCCATGTTTGCAACTCTGTTCACGAACCCTATAGAAGTGGTGAAGACCAGATTACAATTGCAAGGGGAACTGAAAGCAAGGGGCAAACATGATGTCTTTTACAAAAATGTCCCTCATGCTATATTCGTCGTGGGCAAAACCGAAGGTCTGGGCGCTTTACAACGTGGATTAACGGCTATGCTGGGCTTTCAATTCTTCTTAAACATATTCAGGTACCCAAGTATTTTTTTCTTAAAAACAAAAATGTATACACACATGTGGGAGAGCCATGCTTCGGAACAAATGGGTCGGCTCGACCGGAGTGATACCACAGCTTCACAAAAAACCGGCTTGAAACAACCACAGCGTTGTGGTTCGCCATGTGAGGGAGGTTAGCGGAGGCCCAATCCCTCCCCTATCCTTAAATCTCTACACGTTTTCATGGGCGGCGCTGATTGGTAAACATCAGGTAAACCGTCTGCTCGTTTGCCTAGCTATAACATAAACAAAATATCTATTTTTATCTTTAGAATTATTCTGTACAGTCACATTCTTAGACCATGAAGAACCCAACTGATCATAAGAACCACTAATTGTCTTGTTTAAAAAAAACCGTTTTTCAAACCCGTATTTTTAGTAGAAAAATTAATATTTATATTGCAAAAAATAATTAGGTAATATTGCAAATGCAATGGATATAATAAAACAGTTTGTCTTAAACTCGTGTTTCCAGGTTAGGCTGTTTCCGAATGGCAGAAAGAAGGGGCATACTCAAAGATGCTAGTGGGGCTACATCGTTGCTCAAAGGTGCAGGAGTCGCTGGCGTTGGCTCCATAGCTGGTACTCCATTCTACCTGGTGAAAACTAGGCTTCAATCTCAGGCAGCCAAAGCCATAGCTGTGGGACACCAGCATAAAGTTACCAGCACTAGTGGCGCTCTACTTGACATATTTAAGAGCGAAGGGTTCAAAGGTAAAGAAATTATCTTATGAAGAATTTGTTTCTTGCTATTATGTTATAAATTTAGTCTAAAATCACCAAGTCTTCTAGGATACTAATCCTCCTTCCTACATCTTTATTAATTGTTTAAACCTACTGCTGTACCTACATGGGTTTCTGCGTTAGTTAGTACTCCATTGAAATCGTTTTATAAGTGTCCCCATTAATCTATCACTCCAACGTGTTGATCAGTCATCAAATACTTCTTTACAGATAGCTCGCTTCCATAGGAATAACAGAGAAATACCTAATATGACTGTAAAGTATCTAATAGGGTGTTTTAGAATAACGTATTTTGTTTAAAATTGGATGAGGAGAGCTGAACATCGAGTTCCGTGGCGTGCAATCGGGGAGGCCTATGTTTAGCAGTGGACGAAATCAGGCTGATGATGATGATGATGATTCAAATTGATTATGATTTAGTTCACTAAACTACCGCATTGGGAACTGTAACGGTAGTTTTAAGTTTCTTAATTCATAAAAATTACTTTCATTATAATTATGTCAACTTCAGGTTTATTCCGAGGCGTGGGTCCACAAATACCTCGCGGCATGGCGGGCAGTGCCTCCCAAATCCTAAGCTTCACTTACGCTAAGGAGTGGCTGCGAGCACACAACTGGTTCACTCAGTACCCGCTGATGCTGTCCTTCTTCGGAGCCAACCTTGGAGGAATCGTCATGACGCTGTGCTTAAACCCATTCGATGTTATCGCCACCAGGCTGTGTAATCAACGTAAGTGGAAAAGTAACATGAAAATAACTTTTTTTTTACTTTTATGGGATAGGTCGGCAAAAGAGCAGTCGAATTACCTGATGGTAAGCAATCCGCACCGCCCATGTACACTCGCAACACCAAAGGAACACTTGGATTTATAATTTAACATCGACAATCCGCCTTGAACAAGCACGGTGATTAATGTTCAAACGTTTCCGCGTCAGAAGAATGCTTTGCCCAGGACAGGACACTTATAGGCTGTTAATGTGAAACTAGTTAAATTATTAGAATTGCCATAGGTGCAACAGAGAAAGCGCCTTCACTCGGATTTTTCACTGAATAATCGCAAACACACCATACTGTTTTTAAATGTAATAAAAAAATATCTTTATTTCAGCGGTTGACGCGAACAAAAAAGGGACGCTATACAAAGGCATGATTGACTGCGGTTACAAGATGATCAGATATGAGGGCCCACGTTCCTTGTACAAGGGCCTCACAGCCAACTACATAAGGCTAGGTCCTCACACGGTTATCCTATTGGTCTGCTGGGATAAACTTAAAGAAATCGACGACTACTTACGTAGCTGACATACCTCGTAAAATAATTTTGGTTTTAGTATAGTAGAGTTCAAGTGTCACTACGTTCATGTAAACTTTTGTAACACTTTTCAAGCATAATTTTCAAATATTAAGGGCATTAGTCGTGGCGTAATATTCTTGTGGAGAATGCGCTGACCGTTTACCGTCAGACGGCCCGTAAAGATAAAACCTCTTGTGTCGGGACAGAACGCCCCGGTTTCTTACAGTTGACAACACGCGTCACAAACGCATTATTGTCTCTTAATATAGTGAATGTATGAAACTGAAAAGTTTCTGGCGCGAAAAGAAAACGCCACGCCACAATCATGTTATCATATATTTGCTTTAAAATATATTGCTACTAAAAGTAATTGAAAAAAAATGTATAACAAAACAAAATTATACCGTACTTTAAATAATTTTGTGTTCATTTTTAAGCGTAATTTTTTTAAAAGGAATCGTGCTCATTAATAATTTGTACAAATTAGTTTATTAGTCATAAAGTATCTTATATAAATATACCTTCACTTTTATATACTTTTAATTCTGATAAAACCTGTAAAGGAGCGTGATTACTTTTACCTTCTTGTTACCGTTATTATATTTTATATGCTAATGTTTTAATTGGTATAAATATATATTTTGATCATGTTATGACAATAAATCATTATATAAAATAAGATTTTACGTTTTATTTTATATGGGTATGCTTCAGCACGGATGGGCCCGCCGAGTTTTGTTTCATAGATGCCAATCTATGAAACAAAACTTAATGGTTTATCATTATATTATGTATATATTAAGCTGTAAATTGCAATAAAAAAATTCTGACTACTTTAAAAATGTTCAAACTCCATCTTGGCAAGTTTATTGATGAACTAGCTACGCTCGGCTCGTGTTCGGGTCATATAGATCGTAGCGTAATTATTATAGCCCTTCTCAATAAATGGTCTATTAAACACTTATAATTTTTTTCAATTAGAACCAATAGTTCCTGAGATTAGAGCGTTCAAACAAAGAAACTAACTCTTCAGCTTTTTAATATTATATTAGTATAGATTTATGATGAGCTTAGTAATTTAAAGTTATAATAAAACCAAAAATCAAATGGTACTTGAATGTTTATTGTAAAAATTCTTAATAAAATATCATACACATACGGTTGGAGCTTACATATCCCACAATCTTATAATTATAAATAATTACACAACAAAATAATTCCTTAAACTTCTAATTATAATTAAATTATGCACTACAAGTGATGTTTTAAACTGTAAATATTAAAAAATACCAACTGATGGACGTTATTAGAGATAAGTGCCAAAAAAAGATTTTGTGCGATTCTAAGACACTTCAGCAAACCCATTCAGATGATATAATCCAACCGATTTTGACTTCTATTCCTTATGTAATAAAGTTAACACCAATAACATTCAGCAATTTACATTAAAGTTCAAAATCGGTTAAATTATTTATAAATAAATGTTTTTTTGAGTTATAACTGTCCCTATTCAGTATTTAACTCGCAATTTGGGTTCCGTACCAACGATAAAACACGTCTTCATTTAAAAAAGCGTTAATTAATTAGTTTCTTATCACTTACTCATATTAAATAATCAGAGCGGTAGTTACATGCCAACCATTAACTATTTAAAATGAGTTCACATTTCCTACCAAAATATTATAATTCGCCCTTTTTTAATTTTGTAACTTTCAACCGTGGTAATTCGAGACACAAAAGGACCGCCGGCGTTCGCTTGGGGTTTCAAGAATTACTAGCCAAATCATTTTTGAACGTCAAACAAAATAATTAAGTACAAACATTTCAGAAGTGTTAATCTGGCGGTCAGCCTTTTAGAGAAGCTATTTGCTCATTCGTCAAAGCTAAAAACCAGATTCTTCTGATCCTACTCTGAGCCAAACCGTATACCAATATTGTGAACATTGTCCTTACACCTTGGTATACTTGTTTCCAAATATTCGCAGGCTGGTAACCCCTACTACAGCGAGTGCTAAATGGCAACATTGATATTCCATTATATTAACTTCGTTGGTACGGTAACACCTAATGCTACTACGTATTTTGTACTTTTAAAACGTCTTGGAGACGGATGCTGGGACCGAAGTTTCAGTACCGATAAATAAGAACCAATAATGTAATAATAAAACGATAAAAACATTAAGCACTTTTCCATGGAGAAAAAACAAGTTGTGTCCTTTGTATAAAAACAATAGATCAGTAGGCCTACCACGTGTTTTTTTTTTTTTTTTTTTTGAGGGGAAAATCATCAAATGACTTTTCCCTGTAGGAACATCAGCCCTATAGGGCCCCGTTTGTGGTGGTCTATTGGCTCTTTGAGGCGCGCGCGGAACGCTACGCGCCGTACCCTCGGGCCTGGTTCTGGTCGGGCGGCGAGCTGCATAATTTTGAACTTTAGTTCAACTCAGGGTAAGAGCGCAACTGTGTTGTTTTATATGACTATATAATATATCTTATACTCAGGCAGTTAAGGCCTTTTATCAGGGGAAAATCATCAAATGACTTCTCCCGCCCAGGGTAACGCGAGTGAGAGTGAGTCGAGACTCTTACTGAGTAAAATCCCCCCAGTTCCTTCTCCTGTTTTGGGCCCAGGCCGCTGTGCCACATTGCGCAACCCCGAGGGGCAAAGTGGTTAACGTTACTATGACAGCAGTTTCCATTTATCGGTACCTCAACTTCGGCTAGCATAAAATATTGCGAGCACCAACCAGATTGTAGAAGATTATAGATCAGACAATTAAAATACAAGAGAACGTTAGTATCAGAACCGTATCCGAGCTTATATGTAGTTAATTTGTTCCTAGCATCATAACGCTGCATTTAGATCAGTTATCACAAAACAGTTGTGCCTCAGGGTTTTACCCGTTATAAATTATATACTACTGAAAATAGTTTAGCTAAGATAGCTAGCTAGCTAGTAAAAGTTTTTTCTAATCAGTCAAGTAGTTTCGGAGCCTATGCGATCCGAACAACCAAACAAGTAAATCTTTCCTACTTATAATTTGAGTTTAGATTACACAGCAGTAATAGAGCTTTGGGAAAAAAATAAGACATAATTTCTATTAAATTTGGAGATTTAAAATGAATTTTAATTAATGTACAAGGCACTACCAATGATGCTCCCATTTACTGCAGTGGCGCCATCTGCTACATCAATCACCAATATAAATGCAGCATTATTAACCAAAATACAAACACTAAGAGTTACCTATTCTCGTCTTTACTGTAGAAAATAGTCAAAGTGCACTTACATTATTACAATACAATTTTAAAATAACAATAAAAATGCACCCGAGCACACATTAGTCAAAACTATAGCCGTCTTTTACTAACACACACTGCGAGAAAGGGAGAAAAAATGTACAGATCTTTTATATTGTTCAGAATATTTTGTGTACAGATACACACAATAATAGCTAATACCATTTTATTCTCATAAACTTAAACCCCCTTATTAAATAAAAAAAAATTTTACAAAATAAAAAAACCGCCTTCAAAAAAAGTCAAGCAATAAAAGTTCCTACACTAAAAAGTAAAAAATAACAATTTGAATTACTGTAAAAAAACTTAGTTTATAGGTAAACTTATTTGACATTAATATTTTGCAAATATTCAAAATTTATTACTTATTTTTGGAGTCGGTGCCAGCATTTTAATGTTGAAACTTAATGTTAGTTAGCTTTTTAATATCCGGTGCCATTTTTCGTACATAATGCTTAAACATTTTCAATGTAGTTAAAATGTTTTTGTAAGTATATATTTTTTATTTAAAAAAAATGTGCAAATCGGACATTTTTTGTAGAGAAGTCTAATCTGTATTTATGTCTTAATTAATATACCTATATTTGAGTATGCAAATAGGTATTAAGTAGTTTTATAATTAAGTAAGAGGTAGTTTTTCAAGGGATTGTTGCCCATTTGTATTTCCTTGCATGGGCTGGCACCAACTCCAAAAATAAGTAATAAATTTTGAATATTTGCAAAATATTAATGTCAAATAAGTTTACCTATAAACTAAGTTTTTTTACAGTAATTCAAATTGTTATTTTTTACTTTTTAGTGTAGGAACTTTTATTGCTTGACTTTTTTTGAAGGCGGTTTTTTTATTTTGTAAATTTTTTTTTTATTTGTAGCCGTTTAGTGTTTTTTTTTTATTATAATGTGTTATGGCAAAGAAGTCAATATCGTTCCTACATTTCTTTTGAAAAAGTTACCAATGTCATACTTATACGTAGAAATACATATCATAGTACATTGTTACTGTGTAATCGTTTTGATCTCGAGGAGAGATGATATGATGCATGAGATACTTATGACTTATAGTTAAAAAAAATAATAATCTTATCATAAATTCATATTAGTTCTCGCCAAATAACAAAAAACTAGATATTTTCATCAACAGACAGATAATGTTCAAAGATACCAAATGCAATCTAATTTAGTATCTATGATTAAATACATTCGTACATAGAAAAAAGACCGATGCAATTATTGTTTTGTATCAATTGTAACCCATTAAATGAAGAATACTATTTTGTTATTACTAAGAACATTCATATATAGACAAGTTGGTAAAAATACAAAAGACCATCGCTATTGTAAATATACATTTATGAGTCATTCAATGTATGAACCTTTTTTAAGTAAGTATTATCTACATATGTGCACACAAAAGAAACACAATTATTGTTTTGTACGACGCAATTATTGTTTTGTAACCCATTTAAAACGACTGTTTTGTTAAAAATGCCAATGAATTCTCTTAGCCTATTACCAGGAAAACGATAAGAACACAATGACGCATTTCACCACTAATGTGTAAACGCAGTCCACGTGGACTAATGCAAAATAGCCAATACTAGGCCAAACTCCGCCCCCAAAGGTGTGCGGTCCCGCTCTAGAACCTTTCGGCCCCATCGGCCATCTGTTCTACGAGCAATGTGCGCCGTGCCCACTGTCACTTAAGTTTGGCATTTCTTCGGGCTATGTCGGTGACGCTGGTTCTTCTGCGGATTTCTTCATTTCTGATTCGAACATGCACGGAAACTATGAGCATAGCCCTTTCCATTGCTCTTGACAGCTCTAATAAGCTTACACAATACTAGGCCCCATGCCAACCTTCCAGCTTCATCATCACATCAGTTCAATAGTACCTTACAGCCAAAGTGCATCTTATAACAATTCTAACAAGCCCAAACACGGCTAGGATATATTAATTAGGTACGCAGTTCCAGTGCCTACCTTCCAGCTTCATAATCATCATTAAATCAGTTCGATGATAACATTTCCAACATAATTATTTAAGATCATTGGTTTACAGTGCATTTTCATAGTTACTGAACTACCTTGATTGTGATATCTATGCGAGTGTCAAGTTTCATCACCCATTTCTGATCTTCTTCACCAGTTCCACCCCATCAAATATTACTTTTTGACTGTAAATGCTTGAGTGCTCTATGAAAATATTAAAATTACTATATAGTTGCCTATAATATTTGAGGAGTTCCCTCGATTTCTCATGGATCCCATCATCAAAACTCAATTTTGAAAAGAATGGGACCAATCTGGAAGCATATCCTTTCAATCATAAAAAAAATTTTGCAAATCCGTCCATAAACGACGGAGTTCTGAGGTAACAAACATAAAAAAAAAATAAAAAAAAAAAAATACAATCGAATTGAGAACCTCCTCCTTTTTTTGAAGTCGGTTAAAAACAAGATTTATCTTTAGTCCAGGTTTTAAACCATTGAGTCGGTTTTTTGAATTTTGAATCTTATTGTCATCTACCTTCAATTCGAAATACAAAAACTGGTTCAATGGTTTAGTCCTAGACTAAAGTAAAACCTTGTTTTGTAATAAGGTCGAAATTGTTTTTATACATGAACCATGCTGTTTATTATTTACGTCCCTTTCTTGCAAACGGTGAGAGAAAAAGATGGCATCATTTCTACAATTACTTAAAATAATTTTATTGAGTTCTAACAGCACGTTTAGTTAGATTTCTTCATACCCTTTTAGACTTTGACAAATCGTTGCGATTCAACTAAGCAATCAGAGAAACTGACTCTGTATGATAAATTACCAAAAAGGAGTTCAAAAATTTAAAACAATACACGTAATATATTTGTTTAAAAATCAAGATGGAAACGACTAGACACAGTTTTTGTTCGTATAAATCGCTACGATTTGTTTTGTGTGTTAATTATTGAGCAATATATTAATAATGGAGATTTCCAGATATCAGATTTATAAAAAAAAACAAATGTGGAAAAACTTTTTCTTATTGAAAATCAAATCCGTTATTATATGGAGATTCAGAAATAATGAAACAGATATGTATGAATAATTCCCTCACTATCGAAAAGTCTATAAAAATATAAATTGATATTTATCTAGATAGATGGGGAAATTCAGTATACGAACATAATACATAAAATAATATGATATTTTTACCAAGCATTTGGAACCCTGGCTTTTTACCAAATTTATTTTGAGTTGGCGATTTCTGTTTATTTTATATAATTTTTAATACATAGTGGTTTATTTGTGAGATTCTACAAAAATAATTACTTTTGTATCTAAAATATATAATGATCATATCGTCATATCAATGAATGAAAGTCTGGTCATATTCTCATATTATATACCAAAATAATTTATTTTTGACTTGGGAACCTACCCAATTACTTCCGTATGTTCTATGAAATCAGTTTCAATAAAAAATCTACTCTGTACTAAGCAACTTTTCTGGTGTTATATAAATATCACTTGTATTCTGTGTTGTATAAAAATCATAATACCTATTCCCCATCCATTAACAATTTGAGCTCATCTAACAACTTGTTCAAGAGAAATGAGAATAAAAGGTTGAATTCTGAGCTTCACTTGGGAGACTCATACTCGGCACGGAATGGACAGACTGGACCAGAGACTTGCAGCCATCTAGAAAACAGCGTTGTTTCGCCGTGATACTTAATTTACAATAAATTACGTGTATTTTTTATGAATTGGCTGATAAAATATAAGAATAGCATAGGCACGTCGGGCAATACTATTCATGAATATGAGCTCCTAGCGAGGCTTGAAACTAGTCGAGTTACATCGAAATAGTTACGCGAGTAAGCCAAAGTAAACAAGCCAGAGTAAACAATATTAATTCAAAAAAGTTTTTATTAATATCGGCCGAAATACTTGTAATTAAGGTCTAATAATCAGACGGCGTGCTTTCGGTAATTTCCTTTGTTCTAAATATTAATTCAATATTCTCATTTCTCTTATAAAATACAAACATAGCAGTCTACTTACGTATCACTTGTATATTGTATGATCGTGTTAGTAAAGAATTATGACGTCATACGCTGGAGAGGTCCGATGCGAGGAGCGGCTTCGATTGTAGGCCCCGACTGCATAGCTGGGTCACTTGTGCTGGAGTCTTACCTCGAGTTTCGGGGAAGTATATTCTGTGGGCAAATTTATAATTATTAAACTTCTTGGACTTAAAAGGAGACTGACATTTCTTCTCAGAATAGTCAGTAAGTAAATGCCGGTTAATTTCGTTTTTTACATAGACTTTGACGAGTAAAAGTACCGTTTTATGGCCTATTCGCAAATTCATGGTGCCATTAAAGAATTGAAATAATAAAAGAAATAAGACAACTTTTCCTGTTTGTAAAAAAACGTCCGCCATTTCTCATCGTCATTTATTTTTTAAGAGGTTTCACGCTATATTAGTGCGAAAGTTCTACTGCGTTCTAGAAAATTCCACTATGGAACATTCTAGAAATTTTCGTCGGTTACAGAATTTTGCTAAATATTGCCTGTCCCTTTGTCTTCTTTTGGGACAAAGTGGGACCGATAAGTAGGAATATTGCAGAACATTCTAGATAGTATGTTTATTCTACAGATTTAGCAAAAGATGTAGTTTATTTCTTATTGTAAAAACTATGAAATTTTTTTTTGTACTTTTTCCTGTCCCAGACCCAACTATTTGTGCATCTATCACATAGAGCTGTTTTATGCACGAGTCGAATCCGCAACACATTGCGTAGCTGCTAGTTGGCCATCTACTGCTTAGGTATTTAAACACAAAACGATGATTCTCAAAATGGTATTTCTTTGCATAAGTCTACTTACTTCTGGAAGACAAAGAGCGCGGCGGTGACACCGGAGAAGACGAGGAAGGAGTAAGGTCCGATGGCCTCCCGCATGCTGGGGAAGGACATGCCAACGAGGAAGTTCCCGCCCCAGTTAGCTAGTGAGCCCCACGCCATTCCCGCGGGCCGAGGACCAACTTCAAATATCTCTGTGGACACAAATAGGAAATCTTATTACTTATTTCTTTTTACGTGGTTGCCTTAATTTTTGTGTTATATTAATAACTATAAAGTTACTCTCCAGTGGTTTTACCAGTTGCTCGGCTCCATTTAATCGTAGCGTGATGTTTTATAGCCTATAGCACTCAGGAATATTGTAGCTATCTATCAGTGAAAGAATTTTCTATCTATCAGGGGAATCCGACCAGCGGTTCCAAAGATTACCCCCTACATACAAACTTACAAATTTTACCTCTTTATAATATTAGTATAGATGGTTACTATAAGTCTTTATATACTTCGGTTTCCGACTAGCTACTAATGTATCTACTGTATACATGTGTTTTAACATTCGCTGTCATCTATTCGACAACTGGAGAATTCGAAAATGCTCTAACAATAGAATCTTAAGTTTTATAAATTAGTTACTAGCTTTTGCCCGCGACTCTGTTCGCGTGGAATAGTGATTTCCTGCAGATTTTTTGACACCTTTCTCGAGTTCCAAACTATGTCTGTAATCCTAATTTCACAGAAATCGGTTCAGTAGTTTAGGCGTGAAGAAAATAAGGACAGGCAGACAGAGTTACTTTTGCATTTATAATATTAGTATAGGTTAGAAGTAGAGATATAGATACAGATATTGCGACACATTTTACAACAAAATTTATAGAAAACAACAATACTTTGACACTAGAATCTTTAGTTTTATAAAGTTATTATTTTGCGACCCATTTTATTACTAAATTAATAGAAAAACGACTTCCTCGAGTGAAATAATTGAGAAAAATTTAATGGTGGCGATGTGCATGCTGCTCATTAATAAACAGACCCTTGTGACTTCATACTAGTAGAGCTTTTCTCTGTTAATTAGCGTAAGTTATTATTTTCAATTTACATTTTTCTTTATAATTTTCTTCAATCTCTTTCTAAATGAAAATATTACCATTAAAAATAAGTGAAAATAAAACATTCTTTCTAGTCAAAAAATACGTTACTAAACTTTTGATATAGTAACACCCGGTTTCCGAAAGGCCGATCAATCAAAGTCATCTGATTGGTTGACTGAATTATCAACAACCAATCAGATGACGAGATTTAACAGGAGATTAGTTAATTTAGCGTTGACAAGCCTTTCAGAAACCGGGTGTTAGTCGTAGATGCTATGAAAACAAGTAAAAACTATAACTCACCCGAGGCAATAAAGTAGGGAATGGGTCCAAGTCCGAACCCGTAGACTAGAACATACGACAGCACCGCTATCATACACACGTACGGCATCCAAGAAACTACATTCTGAGGACAAAAAAACACATTATTGAGTATTGTATTAACATAGATATATAAAAAGATAGTACCCCGATCCTTCCCCAATCCCTAAATCTCCAAAACACTAATCCCTAAAAGGTCGGCAACGCACTCGTAACTCCTCCGTTGCGCGGGTGTCCATGAGCGGCGCTGATTGCTCTCCATCAAGTAATTCGTCTGCTCGCTTGCCGACTTATGGCATAAAAAAAATCCTTTCCTTGTTCCTATCCCTTCCCAATCCTCAAAACCCCTTATCCCCAACGCACTTGCTCCTCCTTTGGCGATGCCGTGCCGATTGCTTACCAGGTAATTCATAAGCAAGCGTGGTGATTAAAACTAAAACCTTCTCCGTGTGAGAAGAGGTCTTAGGCACTTCACTAAGACAATTGACCAACTGCGACTTTATCTTTAAGCTTTGTTTGGCGTACTAAAGCGCCTGCCCTGTGATTTTGACTTTGACTATTGACTTATAGGCTGATGTCCTGATGATGATGATGATGACGTGAATAACTCACCATAAACCTCATACAAGCAGCCAACGCCGCCAATATAACCGCAGCGGTGAACACGGAGAGCAACAGTAAGGGTCGTCGACCGAAGCGGGGCAGTAACTTCAGCATCAATACTGCAGTGCATACGTTGATAAACCCGCACCCAATCGTTGCGTACTGGGAGTTCTGTACACTTAGGCCGGCCTGCTTGAATATCGTTTGCGAGTAGTAGAACACCTGGGAAATAATGATTTATTATTATTATTAATATTACAAAGCTGAAGAGTTAGCTTATTTGAACGAGCTATCTCAAAAAATACTGGCTCGAAGTGAATTTTGCTGAATAGATTATTTATCTAGGAAGGCTTTAGGCTATATGACATCACGCTATGATCTGTAGGAGCCGAGCAGCGGGTGAAACCGCACGAGAGTAGCTAGTTATCAATAAAAATATAACACGGGGATTGTCAAAACCTGTATAATAAGAATTTTATAATTACGAGCGTTTATGCCGCACTGGTTTCCATGCAAACTTTAAAGTAAAACATCATGGAAACAAGTGACTCGATTTTAATTAAACTCGTTTCTCATCCGCATTTTATCAAGGTCTAAAAATTTAATCAAAAAAATATTTTAGTTGGACTTTCATACTCACAAACATGCAACGCCACTCGTACTGCTTTGTTTATTATTATTTAACCTAACTATTTTATTTATATACAGAAAAGTTTTTTTAAAAACATCAACAATAAACTGTTCTCCTGTGTGTACAAACATACAATTTCAAATACACATCACACCGAGACCCGGAACAACAATTTGCGGATCCTACAAATAGTTATTCAAAAGTAATAGTAGGTTATTAAAACGAAGCTCGACAAATTGCAAAGCATCGGGTTGCAGTTACAGAAAATCCTTTTCCCCCTACCCCAATCCCTAAATCTACACAACCCCAATCGCCAAAAGGCAACACACTCGTTACTATTCTAGTGTTGCATGTTTCCTTGGGCGGCGCCGATTGCTTACCATCAGGTGATCCGTCTGCTCGTTTGTTGTCATATCACATAAAAAAATATATTACCGCATTGATCCCGCTGGTCTGTTGTCCAGCCTGCATGGAGCAGGCCAGCAGTAGCGGCAGTCGCAGGCGAGGGTCCCTCAGTACGCGCAGCATGGACCACTCGCTCGACGCGCACTGCGACCCTCGCACCTCCTCGCGCAGAACCTCTATGTCATCACTCAGTACGCTTGGAGACACGCCGCGGAGACGACTCAGTTCTGAAAAAAGAAAGATAGTCTTTATAATTAAAGCGCGTACTCCGTGAGCGCGGCCTCTACTGGCAACGTTGGCCTATAGCCTTTTGCGGGGTTGTGGGGCAAGCGCAATGAGGCATCGTAGCCTCGGTCTAAAGCAGGAGAAAGAACGGGGGGTTTTAAGTCAGTAAGAGCCTGACACTCCCTTTCGCCTCACCGTGGGCGGGAGAAGTCATATAATGTATCGATGAAGTCAATGTACATAATTATTAATATCAATAACTGTTTACAAACTATATCTTACCTTTTAAAGCTCTCTCCTCATTTTTCTTAACTACAAATAAGTACTTTGGACTTTCTGGCAGTATAAATAACAACGGTAAACATATAATGACTAGCAATACGTAGACGGACAGAAGGTAGGGCCAATCCTCGGCACGACCTGAAACAATACCACAAAAACATCTTAACGTAACCTAAGTAACGTGGCTCCAGTTAGGAGCTGGAGAATGAACAGGGTGCTGTTTAGTCAGTAATAGTCTGACGCCCCCGCTCGCCTCAACCAGTTGAATCTAGTCATTTGATGAGTGCCGGCACGGTTGGTGCGATGGCTGGCCAACTGGCTGCTGATGCCGTGCGGCCGATCCACAGTTTGTTGTCCAGGTCTGGGTGTCATATGTATGTAAAATTGTATGTTTGTAAAAGCACCCACGACACAGGAGAAAATCCTAGTAGGCCAATGTTGTTTTTTAAAAAAAAGATATTCCTATATTTAAATACTAATACTGAACCTATTTAAATAATAGATGACTTAAAGAATTATAGCCATCCTGACTTCTTTTAATAGAATTATTATGAATAGAAAACACATCAAGTTAGATGGCGTTTCGATCGCCTTAAATCATGTAGATGTCAAATATTAACAACCAAATAATTAATAGCCCTATATACATAAATAGTTAATTAGTTTTATTGACTGGTATCAGACTCAACTCTTGTATATAATGTATTTTAAATTTTAATGTTCATTATTATATCAAATAAAAATTTTAACAGTTGTTCAAATACAGCAATCAGTCATCAACTTCATCATCATCATCAGCCTGGTTTAGTCCTCTGCTGAGCATAGGCCTCCCCAATTGCACACCACTGAGCTCGATGTTCAGCTCTTTTCATCCAACCACTGCGAGCCACCCTGCGGATATCGTCAGTCCACTTAGCTGTCATCAACTCACCCAATATAAACTCTAACCCCATGACTTGTCCGACGAGGACCCCCACGTTGACTCCCATGGGGCAGGCGACCCCCATAGCTCCAGTCAGGGCCGCGGGGGCCAGCTCCGTCAGGTACATGGGCACTATGCTGGTGGTTAGACCTGGAAGTTAAGAAGACATTATAACATAAATGGGACGGTAAACAATCAGACGATTACCTGATGGTAAGCAATCGGCATCGTTTATGGACACCCGTAACATTGTAAAGTTCGCCAGACAAGAACAAGACCCGAGCGTATGGCACGTAGCGTTCCGCGCGCGTCCTCATAGAGCCAATAGACCACCACAGACGGGGCCCTATAGGGTTGATGTTCAGCCGGGGTTGCGGGGTAAGCGCAATGAGGCATCGCGACCTCGGCCCAGAGCAATGGAGGGAACGGAGGACAGTAAGAGTCTGACACTCCCTCCCGCCCCACCCAGGGCTGGAGAAGGTATTTGATATTATATCCCACACCAAAAAAAAAAAAATTGTACAGTTACAAGTGCATTGCTGGCCTGTTGGGAGTTAGGGATTACTAAATTAGGGAATTTGAGATTTGGCAGAGGGAGAATTATTGGTCCTCCGGTAACCTTTCTCACACAGCGAAACAATACGTAAGCACGCCGGTTTTCGGTGACACCCATGACTTAACTCTGGCCGAGCTGGCCTATTCTTGCATAAACATAGTTGTCTCAAACTTAAACAAGTAAGGCATCATTAAAGACGCCTAATACAGTCTCCAAAAGACCAGCAACGCCCATGTAACTCATCTGCTGGGTATCTATGAGCGACGCTAATTGCTTACCATCAGTGAACCAGCTTGCTCGTTTGCCGTCTCCTAAATTTTATCATGTTTATCTTCTTAAAATATTATGTGTGTCTGCCTCGCATCAGCTAGTCGTGCCGGCAGTATTTTAATATTCAATGATAAAATTTAATGATCTGTTCGCGATGCCTAACAATGTAACTTTCCATGCATCTTAATCTTCAAGGCAATTTATTGTAATGGCCGTCAAACGTTGTAGGAAACATTTCCACTTCTTTTATTCAATCATATATCTTCATATAGTTCATACCTATACATCAACATAATTGACGGCCCGTGACTGATTCCTCTACTTATTTCGATTTGGAGATCAATCAATATCACATTTTTTGATTACGTAAGTTCGGGTTACTTTGACCCTGGCAGGTAACTTTGATCCAAATTTTCGAACCAATGAAAAACGAATATATGTTTGGTTCTCAATTATTATTGGTTAAAGGGTTTGGATCAATGTCACCCCGCAGGGTCAAAGTAACCCGAACTTACCCGGTACCCAAAAAATTTCCAAAATATTATCAAATTTATACTAACTGTGGCACGTCCTACTTGCCGGAATCCCGAAAGTCGAATCACAAAATAGTTATTTGTCGGAAGATGTAAACTTTTTGTTTCCTTATGTGTGCACATATTAGTGACGTTACGATCCAGATCTAAATACACTGTATTTACGATATAATATGTATATGATTTTAATGAAATTTGCGCCTCAAAACGTTAATTAAATTAAACATCTTTATTTATTTTGTAATATATTAATACACAGAGTACCTACTTAATTTTTAAAGTATAATTCTATAAATGTTTCCGAATCTACTATCTATATACTGGAAGTAGTGTTGCCGGTTGTAATAATTCTATGTGACGACAACACTGACACCCTTAACTGAAGTTAAATCTTACATTGGGTGACGGAGTTTATTGAACCCTATGACACTTTTTTTATATATTTTCATTTTTATATATTACATTTAGGTAAGTACTTAATGTTAATGTACGAGATAAAAGGAAATAAAGCTGTTACTTGTGTAAACTTTCTACTACTTCGTATTAGTTATCCAAACTAATATTATAAATGCGAAAGTAACTGTCTGTCTGTCTTTTCTTCACGCCTAAATTACTAAACCGATTTGTGTAAAATTTGGTACAGACATAGTTTGAGACTCGTGAAAGGACATAGGATGGTATTTATAACGAAAACCACGGGAGAGCGAGAGTATGAGGGTATAACCAAAAATGTACAGGAAGTCACTATTCCACGCGAACGAAGTCGCGGGCAAAAGCTAGTTTTTAATGAAAGGAAGACAGTAGGTACAGTCAGCTCCAAAAGTCGATGAACAGAATCAACTTACCAAAACACCTGTTCACAATAAAACGCCATAAGTTATAGTCGCAACTAGGAAACAAAATAGCCTGTACCCCAGAAATTTACAAAAGTCGTTACACACGACTTATTCAAAAGTATCTGTGCACTAGTATTCCTAAAGTCGCTGTACACCTTCAATCCAAATGTCGCTGAACATCATTGTATCAAAAGTCACTAAACAGCGGTAAAGACAAAATTAAGTTAACAATGTATATGTCGGCGCACTGGCCATCAGTGCATGTAAAACCTCTTTGTTATACGTCGATGTCAAACTTCACTGTCAACTGTATTTCAAGTCCATAGCGAACACCGAGCTCTGGTGAGGCGGCCTTCTTGTAAAACAGGACAATTAGTGTTGGACCTTCGTAGAATACGCACGCGGCCACGTGTTCGGTGGACGTTAAGTTCAAATTCAACCTAATCTTAATTATCCTTAGTTAAATTGTAATTGTTTTTTTTTGTGAGGGGAAAATCATCAAATGACTTCTCCCGCCCAGGGCAGGGCATGCCGCTACCGTATGCTCCACCTTATCCTCTAGGTGGTAAATTGTAATTGTTGTGATTGTAATATCAAGAGTTGTAAGAAGAGTGATTATAGCACGATATATTTTATTGAAATACTGTCTTCCTGCCCAAGCGGGGCACACTTCCACCGTATATTCTACCGTGTCCTCCGGGCGATCTGTGCTAGGTGACACCCGAACGTTTCTTCCGAACAAGATAAGAAAGAAAACAGCGTTTTTTTTAGCGTCGGTGTTTGTCGTAGTTGGGTTTTAAATTTTTTACTCTGGTTGTTTTGTCCGCTAGAGGACGCCGCATTAGATTTTGTAATACATCATATAACTTATAACCAGCGGACAATTAAGACGTTTCTAATGATTTATGTCATATGTCGAATTCTTTAAATTTTAGCATTGCCGTAGTCGGGTAAAAATAATAAATTAAAGGAAGGTAGGTTTTGTAAGATTTGCGCAAAGTAAATTACAAGTACCGTCACAAAAATCACTTCGTAGATAATTAGAGTTATGTTTATGTTATTTAATAAATTATAGATTAGTATGATTACTGACAATAAAATATAATTTATTTGTAAATAAGTTTTGAAATATGTAGATACTAACGTGTTAACATACATTATTAAGTTCTAGCAAACACTGTCCCAAAAGTAGCTGAACAACATAAGCGTCAAAAGTATATTAACACGGGGCAACATTAAAAATATACTTTGTTAACCTAATTTTGTCTTTACTGTTGTTTAGTGACTTTTGATACAATGATGTTCAGCGACATTTGGATTGAAGGTGTACAGCGACTTTAGGAATACTATAGTGCACAGATACTTTTGAAATAGTCGTGTGTAACGACTTTTGTAAATTTCTGGTGTACAGGCTATTTTGTTTTCTAGTTGCGACTATAACTTATGGCGTTTTATTGTGAACAGGTGTTTTGGTAAGTTGATTCTGTTCATCGACTTTTGGAGCTGACTGTACTTACCACCGGACAAGCCGACTAGTAATCTGCCTAATATAAGCATTTCGACTGAGTTAGCTTTTTGGCACAGCAGGAACAGGACTCCGCCGGCGACTGACAGCACGCTGGTTACTACCGTCGCCATTTTTCTGCAAGCAAAAAATATCAATTGGCTACTTTCCTTCGTCAAAAAAAATATATTACTTTTTTTTAATCTTGAACCATGCCAGGATTGTCTCCTGTCATGGGTTTAAAAAGAGGTTAATATCCAGACACGGAACAACCATTATTGGATCACAGAAAGGGTTGTTCGGTGCTGATATCGAAACCGCAACGCGTACCGTACCAGCCCATCCTTAGCGCCAACCGTGCAATTAGAACCACTATTTAAAACTGCATAAAAATATGTTAAGTCGTTTTTGAGATTTGAGACACGCAAGTATACATATGTAGTTCTCTGCTCACCTTCCCAAGCTGTTTGCGAGTACAGCGCCGAGTATAGAGCCGGTACAGCCTCCGACTATGAAGATGGACACCACGAACGACCAGAGAACGTTCAGCCATTTTTCGTCGAGGACCACGTCGTAGCGGCTTATGAAACTCTCGTTGCAGAAACTTTTTATTACCTGCAACATAGAGAAACATACATTAGTGTAAGTTAAGAAATATAGGATTGCCGCGGTTGAAAATGGAAGCGTAATAATGTGCAGTGGCTCAGGCCTCGGAGCTGGAAAAGGAACGGTGTGATTTTTAGTCAATAAGAGTCTGACACCCCTTCTCGCCTCACTTACGGCGGGAGAAGAAAATTACGTTGTCAAAATAAAAAAGGTAATTAAGGATTAAAACATCGTCAGAGTCGCAGGGAGCCAAAGGCTGCAAGGTGGCGAGTTGTCGTTCGACGTAGAGGACTAAGAGGGAGGCCTTTGTTCAGTAGAGGACGACTGCAGGCTGATGGCACTTAAATTATTATCTACTAATTGTGACACAATGCAAGTACCTACAGTATATTATTGTAATTCTCCAGATTCCTCAAATTTAAAAAGGTTGGCTTGGCAACGCACTTAGTCCTAATTTGTTTGGTGTTGAGGGTCTCCAAATGGTCTCTGCTTGTTTAACGCCCTTTTTTTGTGAGGGGGAAATCATCAAATGACTTCCGTGAAGGCGAGAAGGAGTCAGACTCTTACCACCTCTTACTGACTAAAAACCCCCGTCCCTTCGGCCGTTCCCGGCCGAGACTGGCGCCCTATACAGCTTAAAAAGCATATGTACACAAGTGATTTTTATATTCAACTCTACCGTAATCACATGGACAAAGGAATGCACACAGGAAAAATAAAAAAAAAACACGCAAGTGCAATCTAATTATCATGAATTTCCATTCAATTCTCATTGACTTTTCTTGTTTCTACTACCGATCCATTGCGAAACGGAAATATGTACCTACAATAGTCTTTTTCCGGAGTAGAAAAAGAAAAGAGCTCTTTGAAATCGATGAGAAGTCGCAAAATCTTCTTAGTACAATCGTCGAAGAGGAACGTAAGGGATTTGATGATTTTCCCCTATGTGGGAAAAGAGAGTGTGTGTCAGATGCTAACTAACTAAGACACCCGGTTTCTTCTCCTTACACCCGCAACCGAGGCGTCCTGGTACGACACTTCGCGTCCTGTTACTGTTTTTTTTTTAAAAAAAGAAGTTTGCCTCACACTTGGATTTTCTCCTGTGTCGTGGGTGCGGTTAAAACATACAATTTCACATACACGTGACACCCAGAACCGAAACAACAATTTGTGGACCACACAGAGAGCAGCCAGTTGCCCAGCCACCGCACTGTCACTTGTTCGTACAAATATTTAACTACGCTGGAAAAATCATCAAAGGCTTCTCTCAATATGGGCGGGGCGAGAGAAAATGGCCGACTCTTACTGACTAAAAACCACTTATGCATTATTGGGCTTGACCCGTAACCCTGACTTAATATAAGGTTAGGGACACAAATGTGTGGCGTGTCGTATCGCCACTCAAATTTGTCCTCTAACTGTAGTCAATGTATGAAACCGATAGGCTTCTGGGTCGACACGACACAGTAATATAATTCAAGCATTACCCGCAATCACACTTATACGATTTCCCTTCGAACATCAAGTAGGTACTATAATAAAAAGAAGGAAATGTAATCAACGCCTTCTCTTGATTGCATTCCTCGCGCAGTGTTTTTGAAGCCATTAATGTTTTGAAATGCTAGCTTTAGTGGTTAGATAAAAGATTATTTAGCTCATTCATTATTAATTTACATTTAGATATTTCATTCGAATCGTATTCTATTTTCATGCTATAATAATGAAAAAGAAAAAAAAATATTGGAACAAAATAACAATTTTTGCTAAACAATTATAAGATTATTGCTTCTAGAATTTTAAAGAGTCTTAAAAATAATCAATATTTTTTCCTTATAAAATACATAAAAGCGCGGACTCTTGTCAACGGACAAGACATCTCAACAACACCGATTTCAAACCGTATAAAAAACAAATTAAAAAATGCTATTTTGCTGACTCACCGTAAAATCGGAAGTATGCAAGAGAGAATAAATAAGCAAGAATCGAAAACAAATTGTTAATTAACAAATCAAGCAAATAACTTAAATCGTATCATTGTAACACTATTTCGAAGATATTTCAATTTCATAGTCGAATTAACACCGGGCCTGTTCATCAATGTCAGTTAAATAATCCAGTGAGTACCTACTTATTTACAAAATATTTTATTTGAAGGAAACATGTCAGAATGAGGACATCACGTCAAATTAAAAATACATAAAAAAATAATTATTAAAACATACTCAATTGGAAATATTCCATCTTTCTTACGGTGCGGACGGTATCCTGAATCCGATTACCAGGGCAGTATGAAATATACTGCTTTAAAGAATTTTCAAAAATGGAACGCTATCTCTTATCATAATGGTCTTCAGCAGGCTAGTTCCTCCTGTTACAAAAACTTTAAATATTTGGAAAACATTGATTGAGTTTACGAAGAAAGACATATAAACGCTAGCTTTAATGACAAATCCTCGGCTCGAAACTTTATATATTTTATGGAAAAATAGCAAACGAGTGCAACGATCACCTGACGGTAAGCGGTCATAGATACCCGCAACACCAGAGGCTCACAAATATAGTTATAAATGAATAAATTAATGACTTACGTCAGCAGGCGTGTTAACAACTCCGATGTTGTATCCCACAGGAAGTGATGAACCCAGCGTTGTGACTATCCCGGCTAGGACTAAGTAGAAGGACCATCCCCCCTTGTAATCGTGCGATGTAGTCAGATGCTGGTGCTCGGTGGTTATCTGCGAAAAAAGGAGATTTTAGTCATAAATAATAATATTATTATTATTTTCAATGACCTCGTCTTTCTTTTGCCATCTACAAGATATTAGTAGCAGTATAAGAATAATAAAATTTTGTAGGAATCTTCCTGTAGAGTCTAGCTTGTATATTTTTCACCAGTATTTTTTTTCCAGATTGTATATTTTTTCGTAATATCAAAGGATATATGTAAAAACATTTTCTTCAAACTGTTTTCCTTGACTTCGCACGCGAATATGGTAACTAAAATAGAATTTTAAGAAGTTTGGATTTGAAGAAATATTTGCGGTAGGTACCTATATCTGTAATAAACTCTTTGATGTAACCAAAAGAACCAATTGAAATACAATATTGAAGTATTTCTCTACGAAACAAGCGAAGCAAAAGTATCGCAACGTTCTCTATTTTTATTTATTGCGAATTCCAATAAAAACGACACTGCGAATTAGAAAGTAGCGGTAAACCTTCACAGCATTCTAATGCAAAAATAACACATAAAAATAACTCACAAACAAATTAATAAAATCCTTCAGCTTCATTTTTAAATCACAAATTATTCTAAATACACACTAATTGTCCACAATCCACACTTTCACCATTTAGTTGCCCACATATTAACTAGAGCTGTGGTCACGTCGAATGTCGATGGTACGATGCTGCAGAGTGTGAAAATTGGCCAGTACCAGTCACAGAGCCAACCGCCCACCACGAAATAAGTGAGGGCTATGGACGCCGCTCCATGGCCGGCAATCGCTGATACACATCGTCAAGGAGTTTTTATTGTGAACGGAGCAATTTTACACTTAACTATGCTATTTCTGATGCAGGATACTTCGGTCTTTACATTACTGCTGTCGGGGGACGATCGGATGTAGGGGTCTTGATAAATTATTGCCAATTTTAAATTGATGTATTTTTTATTAATTTATGTAAGCGTTTGATTATAATATTTCATCGATTTCATAGTGTGAATTGCTTGGACGAATGTTTCAGGCGCGTAATATAGGGAAGATGGAATATTTTCATTTTAAGCACGTTCCCATTGTAACAAGCTAAATGGTTATAGTTTCATACAATTAATCAATACTGTCTGGGATTATCAGGTAGGGAATATTAAAGATTATTCAATCAGTAGTAACTAGCTATTAGCTAGAAATAAATTATATGATATATTTTCCTTCTTTTTTCCGACAAGGAAACCCATTTTTGCTGGCTGATGATTATTATTATTTTATAATAAATGAACCTATTGTCTTATACGAAAATATATTCACACGATGCTTTTCAATTTTTATTCACGACTAATTTTAGCGTGCGTTCGTGCAGCGGAATGTTGTTGAATTTAAAGATTTTAATTATGCAGATATTTAGTGTATGACGTCGTATAATTGTGTATGGTAAAAAAAAATTTGTGCACGCAACCATTGTGGAGAAATTTACCAAAAATTGATTCCGCTGGGCGAACGTTGTCCTGGCGGAACTTTTTTTAATCCATAGACTTTAGAAGAAAAGAGATGTATCCAAAAATTAGTGTGTATTTGTGTGTAATTGTGTATGTAGGTATGAATAAAACTAGTGCATGCATAAACTTCGGAGAAATTCAAGTTTCCGCTACGCGAACGTTTGGCCATTAGCTAGTTTTCATATAAAGCGCTTACATAGAGAGCTGTAGATTTTTACATACGTTGTTTTGAATTTGTGTATATTTGTTTAAAAAACAGATTTAGAAAAAATCGTAGGGTTTAAAAGATAAAAATATAAACGTAAAATACGCTTATTAGGTCTTAGCTCTTAAAGTATGCACTTTAGGGTCTAGATTTTCACGTTTATACAAACCTTGTAAGTGTCTGCAACATGTTGCCAAGTATCAATGATGTTCCGTTAGTAATTAAATAGTTATAGGACAAATTTACCATGAATAGATCACTGTTTACAAAGCAGTCAAATATCACGACGTTCTAAATGAATTGCATGGTAAAATGTATGCCAATAATTAGTGTATTCATTCAACAATTCACATGCAAAATTTCATGTCATTAAATTCAGTAATTAAAGAAACACAATTATAATACTGACGAAGTATCGAAAACCTACATAACCCGACCAAGTTCGGATGGCTATATTTTTATCTCTTAAACCCTAGGATTTTTTCTAAATCTGTTTTTTAAACAAATATACACAAATTCAAAACAACGTATGTAAAAATCTACAGCTCTCTATGTAAGCGCTTTATATGAAAACTAGCTAATGGCCAAACGTTCGCGTAGCGGAAACTTGAATTTCTCCGAAGTTTATGCATGCACTAGTTTTATTTATACATACACAATTACACACAAATACACACTAATTTTTGGATACATCTCTTTTCTTCTAAAGTCTATGGATTAAAAAAAGTTCCGCCAGGACAACGTTCGCCCAGCGGAATCAGTTTTTGGTGAATTTCTCCACAATGGTTGCGTGCACAAATTTTTTTTTACCATACACAATTATACGACGTCATACACTAAATATCTGCATAATTAAAATCTTTAAATTCAACAACATTCCGCTGCACGAACGCACGCTAATTTTAATTGTATACTATAAAAAGAGTCACTGCTTTCCTTTTGTAGGGATTGGCATAACGTTGCGAACGATTTTGAGCACAAAACTCAGAAACGGCTGCGATGACCTTGCCAATTTTTTTACAGTTTTCTATTCTACAGTCTGGCAACAGTTGTTATGTATTCTTTAAAACAAACAGGAGTACAAATAAAAAGCCGGTACTTAATTTCTTTCCATCTGCTAGTAGTACCTACGTAGTAAAATAATAAAGGGCTGTCCGACTTGAACTAAAAGACCAAATTAAAAGCAAATGTTATCGGCCACAGATAACCTAATGTCCTAATTTTACGTTCATGAATGAACGTAATTATCACAGAAATTAAAGGATGCAATTCATTTACCAACTGCGTAAAAAGTAAACTAAGAACGTGATATCATTTATATTCTCAATTGGGCACTTCATAGTAGATTAGAAGACCTATTAATTAATTGATTTTACTATTATTAACGCGAAAGTATTGATGGGTAGGTGAATATTTGTAAGTCTTTCAAGTAAAAACATGTGGATTGGCTTTGTTAAAAATTGACATTGAATTAGGTAATAGTCTGGAATAATACTTAGGCTACTTTTTATCCGGGTAACACGAGCGATACCGCTGCCATAAGCAAGGTTTTAATAAGTATTGATCACATTATTGCATTTTCAACAGCAGACAACATCTAGATCCGTGTCCGATTTTTATCAAAAAGTTTGGTGCTAATGATAACGAGAAAATGAAATAAACGACAACTGTGACGATAGGTGCTCTTAGAAATGTCTTCCTAAAATCTTGTGAACGAAATTTATAAACCAGCTGTCTGACGGTAAGCAAACTGACTTGTGGTCGTAAAAATAAAACTATACAAATTCGAAAACCGGTTCGTACAAATTATTACCTACACTTAGCAAATCTTAAATGACCACTATCTTAGCACCGAGTTCTTTTTTAAAAATAAAAATAATATTCTCGTGGAAAATAAACCTCTACAATACAAAATAACTGGTTTACTTGTTAGTTTCTTGCAGATCACAATCTCTCTATCGAGTGAACTACGGTCATTCACCTCAAGAAAAACTGCCACAGTACCTGTTTTTCTCGCCAAGCAGGATTGCCAGGATCCAATTCAGAATGAACCACATTTGTTGGAACTTTTAACATTTCTGTCTCATTACTGGAACTATAAAGTCCCGGCATCACGTTATTTTTGATATTAATTTCACTGAGAAGACTACTGACTGGTGTAGCGTTACCTTCATTAATAATAACAAGGCCCAAAGTGAAGAATTGAGTGCTTAAATAATGCGCCATTTTTCCAATTCGTTCTACTATACCTTATCCATTCATGTGATATATTGGCTCATTATTTAGGCTATATTACTTTAGCGAACTGTGACGGGTCCAACAAATGATATTTAATTATGTGCTAAAAAATTTTGGAAATTTTTGGATATTCCCTGACGTACTTATTTATTGATCTTCCTCGACATAAAATGGAAGGGAGAACTCGGCCTTCCCAATTTCCTTGGTCCCTACCAGGAACAAGAAATTTAAAACATTTGCCTATTTCGGCAAACAAGCTAAAGGATTACTTGGAGATAAGTACCTGATTGGCATAACCCACGGTTAACACGAAGGAATTACACGTTCGTTGCCGACCTATTGAGGATTGAGGATTTGATTATAGCGGGATTTGTGACACAAAGTTATGGAGATGTTAGAATATTAGAATTTGACGCGATGAAAATGAGGAGCCCCAAGATCCCTATTCTATGAATAGCTTTTCCTCAGAACCAGAGCCATATTTCTCAGGAATACTTCCTAAGATAGAAATAAAAAATATGGCTATGTCATCGAAAGTTTTCTAGGTAATGTAGGCAGTCTAAACAAGTTTGCAGACACGGTTAAGTAAAAGTCGAGAAAGTGATCTCTTGAAGACATTACAAACACAATGATCAATGAATTTAAACACGTATGTAGCTTAGATAAAGCACATTATTCAATGCTGAGTTACTATTGGAATATAAAGTAGCATCTATTTATAGAATGTAGGTATAGTAATTTAAGATACCTGATATGAGGTTAGTAGGTTTAGCTTGAGTTAAAATTAGATTCCTATTCTTAAGGACGATCAATGACCTATTTTAATTTCGTTTTTAACTTTATTTTTGAACAAGGTATTTTTTTTTTATTTAACGATGTTTTCTGAATTAAGATGGCGACACGATGTTGTCGCGACGCGTTCTCTGCGCATCAATAAGAATCCCGCTGTGACTTGAAACTAGTCGAGCGTGAGTAAATAGTTATTTTCGACAAATTGTGTATGCCCCATGATAGTAGTCATTACTCTAAGGAAGATAACATGACGTATATTTCGATTACTTTCCGTCTGGTAATCC